ATATAATCCACTTGAGCACGTCCCATACCATGCCTAGCAGTTTCTACCACATAATCAAGCACTATGCATCACACGTATTCCAGTTATTACGCCCCTGGGGCCACCACACATCAAGCGATACGCAAAGCAAGATGGCGGTCTACCGGTAAAACCGGGCTCCGTCCCGCCCCGTCGGGCACGGCTACGTCAAACGATCTACAGTAAGACGGCATTCCAATACGGCAACATCAAACGATCTACAGTAAGATGGTATCCCGTAAGGAGCATCGAGTCCGGCCTCGGGCCGCGACAAGGCATCCGGGGTATCGGCACTCCGGATAACCCCCGGGCATCCGATAAATCGGGCATCGTCAAGCGATACACAAGAAGACGGGTCCAACGTGTGACCACACGAGCACACAAGCATTCCTAGGCCAATTATTATCTTCTCAATTAGCCCATGCATACATGAATCGTGCTCTCCTCAATGTCATGCAATAATACCAAGTGGCCACACATGCCAACAGTCAATCAATTCTTGCAATCTTCGATTTCAAACACGAATATCAACCACAAAGTATCACTAACATTACTTGGCATAACAGAATAAAATAATTTAATTCCAAAAGTCTCATAAATTTTCCACAGAAACTTTCGATCAAACAATTTGCCATAAAATCAATTTAATACGACAATACGCGGCAAAATCGCCAACATTCAAGCTAGAAATCATAATTTGAAATTATAAAATTTTCCGAAATAACAATAAATTAAATTCGGAATTAATTAATTACTAATATCCGAAAATAATTTAATTTTCCAAAATGTCAAAATATTTCCTCGAATCGAAATCATTCAAATCATTTCCTAAATACGCCAACTTATACGGCGAAATCCAACATCGACATCACAATTAACGTTAGAAAATTTTCCGAAAATAATACTATTTAATTTTCGGAAATTAATTATTTAATAATAAAAATAATAATATTTAATTCGGAATTAATTTATTAACTAATAAAATAATATTTAAATTCCGAAAATAATAACATTTCATATAATAATCAATAACAATAAACTAATCAATAACTTATACCCTAAACACAATTAATTAACCACTAACCCACAATTAACACAAACTAACCATAAATTAAACTACCCTAAGCAAGTTTAACACCCTAAACACGGGATTAGGGGTTAACTTACTCGGCTAACGCCGGCGATGACGCGAGGACGACGGCAGCGACGAGGGCGGCCCGCGGTGTCCTCGGGATGCTCCGGTGAGCGACGAACGGGCGTGGCGAGGGGAGACAGCTCCCGTAGTGGCTGGTCGGGGCTGGTTCAAGGACTGAACGACGGCTGATGGCGGTGTTTCGGCAGCCGGGACAACGTCGATGACGTCTAAGACGGCGGTGCACGGCGGCGAGCGGAGCTGGGCAAGGGCGAGCTCGGTCCGACGAGAGACGGACGGGTGACGAACGAGCGCGGCTGCTGTGGGGCTGATCCAGCGCAGCCTGGGACTGTTCCAGGCGGGAATGGCGGCCGATGGTGGCGGCTGGGGGTACTGGACAGCGGCGGTTGCTCGCGGCGGGGAGGATGACGGCTGGGCTGACGGGAGGCGCGATCGGCTCCGGCGAGGGGCGCTGCTCGCGCCTTGCTGGGAGAACAGCCGGAAACGAGGGCTAGGGGGGTGGCGCCCCGGCAGCTGGGACGATGGTGACGAGCGGCGGAGGTGGACGACGCATGGCGGGTGGCTGGTTCCGGCGAGAAGGGCTAGTCGGCGGCAGCAAAAATGAAGAAGCAGAAGCAGTAGCCGACGGGAAGCAGAAGCAAGGGAGAAGCAAGACCAGCGAAGGAGAAGAAGAAGGGAAAAAGAAAAAGAAGAAGAAAAGGGGAAATGATGGGGCTAGTGAGGTAGGTGGGGGGGGTTTGGTGGTCAGACACGCAAAAAGGGAGGGGGAGACCGGCGGAAAAAGAGGAGAGAGAGAGAAAAAGCAAAGGTCAAATCGTAATAATCGCGATCCAACGGCCACGATTCAAATCCAAAAACGATCCGACGGTCCCCGAAAAATCCTAATTAATATTTTTAGGATTTGGCCAAAATGGTGTTAATAAAAACACACTGCGAGGGTGGTCTACCAGTCCAAATTCGCACCCGATAAAAAATTTATTTTTCACGTATCTCAGGTAATATTGAGATTGGCCATACTAATATCGACACCGTCCAATTAAATTCGTTCCGGAATTCCGAGAAATTCGATACCAGAGTTTGGGCTCTAAATAACTGCCAAATTCGATCGAATGCGATTCTAGCGAAATCTCAATTTTAAAAACAATAACCGGGAGTGATCAGTTCCCGGGCGAGATTTTACTATAAGCACACTGACGAATTACACGTTTTATAAATCCCAAAAAGGGGTCGAAATTCGGAATGTCACATTATATATAAGTTAAGATATGGATTTTTTTACCCATTTTGAGAGGTTTAGTTATAACCCATTACGATCAAGGTCGGTATCTCTCGAAGGCCCCTCGAAATTTGCATCATGCATGATAAGTATGTGATTGGTTCTAGGTAATTGGGTACCAAACAAAAGTACACAAAAAATAAAAACCTTCTCATTCATAAAAAAAACTCATGTGGTTGATTAGACTTACAGCCCATAGTAAATACGGAAGATCACGGCTGCTGTTAGAAAGTCTCTACTCCCAAAATATTATTCTTCAAGTAAAGATTAAAGATGGATTTTATGTTGACCCCGTTAAAACCTCCCACAAACGAGCAATAAAAATTACTTTTTAACACATTTTTCCTGCTAGGTCCATTGCTTCGATCCAAGTAACGACCCGTCCAAAATCACTGAAGGTGGTGACATGAATCTCAAGCATGCGAAGTTGTTCTTATTCCGGTCAAACTCGGATATGCCCATGGATGTGACCTGGGATCTGTGTTTGTCCGAGCGGGATGCTAAGGCTGCGCATGACAACCATTCTGTGTCCAGAATCTGATTCTGAGCAAAAATGATTCTTTTTTGTTCTGTACCCGGAAATAATTTCTAAGCATTTGAAGGCGTTTGGTAACTGCCCAAAATTTTTGTTCTTAAAATAGAAAAAGAACAGAAATGTGTTTGGTAACTACCCAAAATTTCTTTTTATTAATAATATTTTGAATTTTTTAATATTTATTTCTTTTTTTCTTTTTTTTTCTTTTCTTTCCCCCTCCTTTCTTGGCCATGGCCTGCCGCCGGCGCCGGCGGCCGGCCACAGACCAAGGCCGGCGAGGGCGTCGCGGCCCTCGCCGCCGCCCTTGCCGTCGCCACCCAGGTCTGTCGCCACGGACCTGGGTGGCGACGGCGAGGTCGGCCTCGCCTTGGCTGGACAAGGCCGCGAGCCGCCCTTGCCGGCCCTGGCTTGTGGCCGGTCGCCGACGGGTGGCGGGGCCGAAAAATAATAGCAACCAAAAAAACGAAAAAAACCAAGAAAAATTAGTTCTGAAAAAATTATTCCAGAATTAAGAAGTTACTATTTTTTTATTCTTGATTCTATTCCAAAATTAATTCTGCCCGGGCACAAAAAATTTAACAAACGGATTTCTGTTCCCAAAATTATTCTGGAAACAAAATAACATAATCAATCACTATTTGGCAAGTTATCAAACAAGCCCTAAGCATATCCAAGGGCGCGATGCACCCTTTTGTTAGTTTTGGTGGTTGGATTCTAGATGCCAAACAACATGGGTCCCTTGTGCGTCCCAACATGGAATGTGTGTTCAACCAAACCTACTAGCGTAACGGACCGTGTCTGGCATGGCCAGCATGCGGCGGTAATGGGCTGTGCCGGCCCTTGCCCCATTCACTCTGGGCCACACAGGGCCCAGAGGCGACCCGCCCCTCGGAATGGCCCGGCACAAGACCATCACGGGCCATGTTGGGCCAAAAGACGGCTCACAAAGAAGTCGTATTCGGATTTAGCCCGGTCACATCGAGAACAGTATCGATTCCACGATCCGAATCAGACCCATCGATCCCAGCAGAGGCCGAAGATGGATCTGGGCCGGGCCTCGGCATCGACCCCATCTATTTACATCAATAAGGTGGCGCATTACCATGAGCTGAATTCCAGTCAATGAGCCCAAGACAGAGGGAAGCCGAAACTAACTACTTCCATGCGCTTGAAAGCGAAAGTTGTTTTGGTTTGGGAGGAAGCCCCGACGGACAGTTCAAGACCTTCAGGACAAAACAAAGGTATTACAAAAAGGCTCGATCCTTTGAGGTACTAATGTGAAACGTAGCCGTACAATTCCTGAAAAGGCACGGACATTGGACAAAGGACCTACTTATCTCCTTGTCCCCTTCCGACATTGGCATTCTGCTAAAGGAATCGGGCCCCACGGTGCTGTCATTTGTTCATAAACCTGTTCACTAACCAGTTCGAAAATGGAAAAATCCTTAAATATAATCCAAATCACGTTCACCGTAACACAAATATTCCCAGCTTTTATCAAAAACCCTAAACTTGTCTAGTCTACTATGACACAAATACTTTCTAACTCTTTTTTTAGTCACGAAAAAACCTAAACTTATACATGTATAATATATATACCATTTATTTCAATTATATCTATTCGAGGTTAAATTTTACAATAGGCAAGCTTAGAGTTTTTAGTGATATAAAAAGAATTTCAGAATATTTGCATCACAGTAATGGGTATAATTTAGGGTTGTTTGTGGTATTAACCCGGCCAAAAAACCAGTCCACCAAGCATTCCAATTTCGAAACCGGCGAAATGAGTAATTTCAAATTTCATAAAAATGATTAGGGCGGCGTTTGTGGTTAGGTTGCGAATTCTGATTAGGAACACGTCGTAACCAATAATCAGAAAAACCTGCATGTAAATTGAAAATCCAAACATTCGAATCTCAAACTCCGCCCGAATTTTTTCTCAGCAGCTTCGGAGGAAACGAAGCATCTTTTGAATTAATCGAAAAATTCGAACAAAAGAAAATTAATCGAAAAAAAAAAGGAGGAAAAGGGAATTCAATTGTGGAAAAAATTAAAAGGAAACCAAAAACGAATCCAAGATTTTGGTCGGATCAAGCACGAGAGGCGTTCCTGCTCCCGAACTTGGACCTCAACAGAAGCGCGCTTCTGCTGCTGCATATCACATGCGTCGCATTAGTCCTCGCGGCCGCCGGACCGCTGCCGCCGCTGCCGCCTCCGTTGCCGCCGGCATCGTCCCTTCTTCTTCCCCTCCTCCTCGTCCTCCCTTCTTCGTCCCCTCCTGCTCCTCCTCCTCCTCCTTCGTTGTCCGAGCCCGCCCCTCCTCCCTCGGCCCCGTCGAACACCAACGACCCGGCGTCCACCGAGATCACCAGCCCGCCCCTCCTCGCCCTCAATTGGCTCACGCTCTCCTGGCCGATCCCCCGGCACCTCTTCACCTTCAGCTTCACCAGGCTCGCGCACCCCGCGACCACCGCCTCGATGCCCCGCGCCGTGATCGGGCAGTTCTTGATGCAGAGCTTCTTCACCGCCCCGAACTTGGCCGCTATGGCCTCCATCTCCCGGTCCCCGACCGAGTCCGTGTTGCACAGCGCCACCCTCTCGAGGCACGGGCAGTTGGAGGCCAGCAGCCCGAGGGAAGGAGCCCTCACCGGGACGCCCATCAGGACGAGCTCCTGGAGGCGCGAGCATTTCGCGGCCAGGGCCGCGATCCCCTCCTCGCCGATGGTTCGCCCCCCGAACCGGGTCCACGCGTCGATGTGGAGCTTCCTCAGCTTCTTGCAGGAGCTGGCGATCGCCGACAGGCCCTCGTCGGAGCAATCCGTAACTCGGCTCAGGTACAGAGTGTCCAAATCGGGGCACGAACCGGCGATGGCGGTCAAGCCGGAATCCCCCATCTGCACGTTCTGCATTTGAATCTCGGCGATGGCGGTCGCTCCTCCTTCTCCGCGGAGCCGGAGGCTCTCGAGCACTCTGTCCCAATTTCCGGAGCTCCTGCAACACAGGAATGGATTGATTCGAAACCGTCGCCCTTCTAATCGATCATTTCGAACTGCATGGTCGTGTTTCGTGTCAAATCGAAGATGGGTGTTGAAAATTATGCGTGTACTAGCATTTACCTGCAAACGACGAGGCTCTTCAATGGCTTCGACGAGCAGAGAAGAGGGATGAAGAGGCGAGCGTTGTGCAGGTCCTTGATGCACAGTCGCTCCAGCTGAAAGTTCGCTTGCTTCTTCTTCTTCTTCTTCGGCGCATTCGCGTCGTTCGCTGCATGGTCGTCGTCGTCGTCGCCGTCGTAATACGCGTCGATCGAGAGAGGGGTGCTCTGCGCGTCGAGCTTGCGCAGCCGCTTGAGCGTGAGGTCGCGGAGCGACGGGCAGTTGAGGAGCAGCGAGACGATCCCCCGGGCGCCGAACCCGCACGCGGCGAGCGAGACCTTCTCCAGCGCGGGGGGCCGCCGGAGGGAGAAGGCGCGGAGGCCGTCGTCGGAGACGTCGACGCAGCCCTTGAGCTTGAGCTTCTTGAGGGACGGCAGCGACGCCGCGACCCGGGCGAGGGCGTCGTCCCCGAGGCTCACGAGCTTGCGAGAGCACTTGAGGGAGAGCACCGAGACGGAGCTGAACCGGCGGAGCAGCGGCGGGAGCGACGGGGATGCCTCGGAGCGGGCGTGGAGGGCGAGGCGCTGCCGCGACTTGGCGTCCACGAGGTGCCACCGGCGGCAGGCGAGGGAGCAGGAGTTGCGGTCGTCGGAGCCGAGGAGGGCGAACACGGAGGCGAGGCACTCGTCGGGCAGGCCCAGCGTGAGGTCGCAGGGGGCACGGCCGGCGGCGGGGGCGGGGGCGTCGCGGGCATGGCTGTCGACGGTGGCGGTGGCCGAGGAGGAAGAGGAACAGGAAGAAGGAGCTTGACCCATTCGAGAGGCTCGAATTGGGTTCGTGGATGAACTTCTGAGAGAGAAAGGGAACAAGAAGAAGGAGGTGGAACGTGAAACTGGGGTTATTACAGTAGAGATAGAGAGAGAAAGCGAGCATTTCTTGGTATCGGTAATATCAACGGGGGGTCGGACACGACCCACCATCATTCGCTAACGTTTGTTGGGAGGTTCCTTCCTTGTGGACAAAAACTTAGTTCTCCTTCTAGTTCTAGTTATTCCAAAGTTCAAACTTATTTTTCTATTTTTTATTACACCTTCACCATTGTAAAAAATAAAAAAACAAAATTTAAGGCGCTCACCATGCGAGAGAATTTAATAATAAAAAAGGCTTCGGATACACGTTTCATGTATCCAAACGATATTGAGTTTTGTAAAAATGTTTTGACGTTCTTTTGAGAGGCTAGTAAAATTTAACAACCGTCCTAAGTTTTTTTCTTCTGGCATTTGGACGGTTTTGGATTTCTTATCCATCTATGGATAAACAAAACAAATTTGCATGTTAATTTTCTCGAAAAAACAGGGGATGATGACACAAATAATCTTTGAACTTTGGTATAAATGACTGGCTGGAGCCAATTTCCTATTTGAGCGTAAGAAGGAAAGTAGCTGGAGATCTGAAAGGGCAATATAACTAACTTTTTTTGGTCTGGTTCCTCAGGAACTGGATTAGGTACACAAGGTTCTATCATAAAGATAGTAGGAAGGGCGAACCTCTTGCTCAAGCCCTTCAGGGACTACCTTTTAACTGCAAACTACTCGGAGATTTAATTCAAAATAGCAAACCTCTGCGGTCTTCAAATTTTGAATTCGTCAGGAAAAGGCATGACTGGCTGAGGCCAATTTCCTATTTGAGCGTAATAGGAAATGGCTATTATGGTACCTAACCAGTAAGTACTTAATAGCTATTGAGTTTATTCCGAGAAATTGTTGAACTTGCTGAGTTGTAAAATCCTTTTTAGGAAATTTTTTTAAAGAGACTGATGTGCCTTTTGAGTTTCTCTAACTCTATACACTATTTGGTAATGAAGAGTTGCAGCAATTTCGGGATTATGTATCTCAAACCAACACTTCCATATAATTCATAAACTTTCAATTTGTTCAGTGTGGTCTCTGAACTATTGATACATGTTCGAGCTAGTTCCTGAACTATATGAAAATATTCAATGGGAACGATATTGCACATTAGGCTAAAGTCTAAGGACCACGTTAAATATTTAAAAGTTTATGAACCTCATTGCACCAAAGTTCATGGACCATTTGTGTTATTTTTCTCCAAAAATATTAGGTGCACCAATATGATTGCTTGTGTGGAGGCATTGCATAGTCTATAAAAGTTGGAAATTTTTTTTGGGTCAAATATAAAGGGTGGAGTTCCTCTGTTCGTATTCATGCTGTGCTCCGTTTTATGTCTCGACAAATTTCAACCGTTGACAAAATTCTTATAATCACAAATCAACTTATTTATATATAACGTCATACTTTTTCCTCAATGTCACGGTGTATTTGAATTTTTAAATCACAATGTATAATACAAACCGTCTCAATCTCATGATTTCCAAAATCTAGATGGGTTGAGGAGAATATATCTTAAATAAATATTTGAAAAGGAATCTACTTTTCTTCCCTAAGTCCACACTAAAGGCAACAAAATATAGTAATAAACTAAAAGCAAATTACAAGATGCATTCTCCTAATATTTTTGAAAATGGATTATTCGTGGAAACACTAGCGAAGGAGAAGATTTTCTTCACATCCGACCGCATCATTGGCGATGTGTTGACTGTAATCATGAACCACTTCACGAACTTTATGCACTGACAGTAACGGGAGCCGCGTGTGGAGAAATGTTCTCCACCGGCGAAATTTACAATAAAAAAAATCCTTCAAAATTACGAAATGAAAAGTATTTATTTCTAATCGAAAGCATGAAATTAAAGTTAGGGAAGACCTTGGACACGGTTCTTGTAATTCAGCCCGTATTAAAAATGTTATTTGCTTCGTAAGAGAGCCTTTACAATGTCATATGTTTCGAACAAAAAAAAATATCATATGTTGATTACGATACTCAAAAGTGGTGCGATGCGATAATTTTGGACGAGTTCCGCTAGCGGCAACTCAATTGTGACGCATTCTGTAATGATGAATCTAAAATGCACATCGGGGTGTCCTTTCGAGATAGCCAAGTTACCACCAAAACTCTTGCGGATCTCCGAACATCTCATGTTATGTTGCCTAGTTGCAGTATATTTGATACGGAGAGGCCTTCCAACTTTCATCATCCCGCTGGAGCTATGGTAATAATTCACCAAACTCAGAATTTTGGGTCACCGGGGAAGCATAATACTCATGACTCAAACCGAACATTGCATAATCAGTGCGTAGCTCCTTCGATGATTCTCGGGGAGGGTCGCCGGTGCCAGTGCCGGTCGCCTCGCCTTTTTATCCTTTAAAAAAAAAAAGAAGAGTTAGAGGGGTTTGGGATCTAACTTATGGAGCTGATTGCGCGGGAGAGGAGGGAGAGAACGAGCGGGGGTCCGCACTGTCCTTCAAATTGAATGCTCACAATTTGTCGGCTACTCAGTACAACCATCGGGTGCGATGTTCGTGTCTGTCTTTCTTGCTGGCCTTTCTTTGCCCTTTCCCTGCTTCTCGTTTCGATTGGCGCATTTTGGAGGAGGAGTGGCATCCAAAAAGAAACGGGGGAAGTAAAAACAAACAAACAAACAAACAAACAAAAAGGTCAGTGCAGTTTCGAACTTCCAATGCAGCTACACCAATAACTCAAACTTCTCGTGGCGCCAATACATAAATAAATCGCCAACGAAAAAAAAAATTGGGCATTTTGATTTGCCTTTTGTCCCCCAAATAAAGCAAATTTGAACAAGGGCAGGGGCAGCTGCAAATGAGAAAGTTCAAATATTTGGGTGCTTCTAGAATGCTTTTTCGGGTTATCCATTAGAAATCTCAAACCAACAGTCCATAGTACATTTATTTCGAAGAATTTAAGTCTCACGAGAAATCTTGAACTGGTATCCCCGATTCAAATCTATTCTCCACGTCGGAACCCAACCAGCTAACGGGGTAGATTTGGGGTGAATGTGTCGTTGGGTACCGGTTTGAATTTTTTGTGAGAGGAGAATTAGTTTTGAGTAATTATATCAATGGGTAGTGATTGGGGATGTTTATTAAGTCGAAAATTAGTTTGGAGTAGGTGTGTCATAGTTCCGCGGGATACTGGTTTGGAAATTTTAATGGGAATTCGCTCTATTTCTTCTTTGATATTCCGATGGGATTTCAATTTAGTCATTTTAAGCATTTAGTGGCCCACGGTCTTTTTTTATTTTATTTTTATCTAACATTAGTTTTGTGATTGCTCCTAAAGTATCGGGCCCTGCCGAAAATTATTAACCTAATGTAGATCAAGCCGTGACGAACGGAGTTTTTAATTATGAAACTCATGATGGCAATTAGTGAGTATAGTAAGCTCAATTTGTCATCTATGGATTGAAGATGGGGGGAAGTGGTCCAAGAAGGAAAAGCTTATATTCCAAAGCATCCCTTTTTCTTTTCTTTCTGATGAAGCCAGAGACATCTGTTGAGTCTCATCTTTTTGGTCAAAAGAGTGAACAATTCCAATGATTATGCTTTAGCCTACCTTTTTATTTTCAAGCACCTGTGGATATTTTGTAGTGAAAATACTAGAATATGAAAACAATCTCATCGCTTCTATAGGAGGACAGGGAAATTTTCTTTTCTTTTCTTTTTCTTTTTCGGCAAGGAGATGGGGAATGCTTTCGGTTAAGCAATGGACCGAGAGAACCAAGTCATTACATGAGCTTTTTGTAAATGGAGAGGAAAATAAACATCTATCAAGTGGTACTTGTTTTTAAATTAGTGGCACAACTAGTCCTTGAATCGGCGAAAGTTCCTATTCTAATAAATATGAGATCAAATGTAAATATCACTCCAAAAATTTTTTTAGTCTTTTAATAAAATATGTAAACCACAAAATACTTTAGGTAGAATGACATAAATAGTTCGTGAATTTTGACTAAATGTGCAATGTAATCCTAGACTTTAAATTTGTTCAACGTGTTCCCTGAAATTTAGCCCACTATACAATGTGGTCTCTGGACTTTTAATTTATTCAATGTGGTCCCTAAACTTTTTGTACACGTTCAAACTAATACTTGGACTATATGAAAATGTTCAGTGCGATGTCCTGGAGGGAGGTCCCCTCGTCGGTTCGCCGAAGGAGTGATGGTACATATTCAAATTAGTATCTAGATTATATGAAAATATTCAGTACAATGGTCTGGAGGGACGTCTCCTCGTTGGTTTGCCATAGGAGTGACGAAGCCAAGGGACAAGCTGTCCATGGTGCATGCGTGCGGACTCTTTGCCTGAATTCTTTTAACTTAAATGAACTCATTCAAATTTAAAAAGTCAATAAGGTACATATAAAAATGGCTTTGTCTATTTATTTTTATCGGCAATCTTTCATATTCCTTCTATGGCCAATCTAGAAAATAACTTTCTCCAAATAGTTACCATTAGAATTCCAGTTAAGTAATATATCCAGGTATACCGTGGGCATTCAACTAGTAGTTCGCTATTTTATGAGATTATAGACCGATATAAGTAATTTTCAAAGCACATGTACATTTACATTTCAATCGAGAAGAATTCACTCTCTTCTTGAGCAAGTTCTTGCCAAGATGAGGTCAATGTGGACTCCAGTCATACTTAGACGTTGATCACGTGGACACGACGTGACCAACTATTTCAATTGCATTGGATTCATGGACACGAATCCGACAACACTTTCTACTTCTATCGAGTCAATATGTATTTGGTCAGAGCCTATTTGATATGGTAACTGTGATTGGGGGCTGGTCCAGGCATCGAGTCTTGGCGGAGCTTGTACGAAGCATCAAATTTTTCGATCGTTTCTTTCTTGGTAATTTTTCATCGCACAAGTCCAAGTCTCTTTCCTAGTAATCAAACTTAGGTCTAGCTTT